GATGGAGGGTGTGGCTTTGGTTGGGTGTTGAGGGATGCTACTGGATTTTTTTGGCTGGGGGGTGCAAAACTGGAGCTGGCAACTTTACCCCTCTTGAAGCAGAATTAATTAGCATAAGAGAAGCACTCAGTGTTGGGTGTGTTTCGGAAAATAAAGAAAAATTAATTAAAATAAATTAATTAAATAAAATGACGAAAGAAAACAAGAAAAGAGATGGAGCAGAATTTGTCAAAGCTCGTGCTACGCACGATGTCCTTAAAACGTATTTGTTGCCTCCCACGGTGCTAGGAGCGTTGCAACAATAGTTTCCCAGGATACGATGACAACGAACTAATGTTTGAGCACACAAACAAGAGTTCCAGCGAACGAGAACAAAGACCGAACACAGAAGGAATTTGCAGATTGCTAGCAGTGTGTTTTTAGAGGTGCAAAACGTGTAGAATTCGTGTAAGAACGTATGTTGTTGCAAACCACCTGCCAGCCTTTATATAGGAGGATTTGTTGTGTGAAAATAGTGAATTAATGGACCTGAACGTTGGACATCAATGACCAGTCCGTTGGGCATTGAATCGTCCATGAACTGTCCATTTAACGCTGCATTAAAAGATAAGAACGTTGGGCATTAATTGTTGTAACGTTTCAGAAGTGCCACCAGAGTACCTATGCGAGGTATTCTGATCGACGCCATCAGAGACCGGCGTGTTCTGATCGAGGCCATCAGAGATCGACGTGTTCTGGTGGAAGCCACCAGAGGCCGAGGTGTTCTGCCACCAGAGACCGAGGTCTTCTGCCACCAGAGGCCGAGGTGTTCTGCCACCAGAAACCGAGGTCTTCTGCTGCTAGGCACTTCTGCCGCTGGGAAAAAATTAAACGTTTCGGGAAGAAAACAAAAATTAATCGTATCTCTTGAGAGATAGATTTTTGGACGACATTCGTGTCCGCAGGTCGCCCGCGCACGCAAGTCGCGGTTTTTCTTCTCCGAATTCGGGATTTGATTTGCACCCCCCCCCCTGCGCGCGTGGAGAGAGCCTTTACCCTTAGGAATCTTAACTCCATAAGGGGGGAGTCCCTTTATAAAGGGTTGCAAATCCCTTGGGTTTTCCGGTGTGGGAAATTAACACTAGAAACCCATCCTTTTTCCCCAGTTTTTCCCTTCTAACGGGTAAACTTCGAAAAGCGATTTCTCATTCACCCGTTATCCGTTTTGAGCGTACCATATATCGAATTGTAGCCCTAAGCAAGGACAATCCGAAACCACTTTGACCCGACCCAAATCGGAAGTGGACCCCACTCAAAAAATTGCCCCAAAATAGCCATTTAATGCAATTTTTCACACATTTTTCCAACACTCAGTTGGCTTAAAAATTGGGAGTGGAATCAACTAGAGATAGAATCAGATTCTCTCCAAGCTATTCAGGAAATACGAAGCGGTACCGGCCTATCCTACCTGGCTCTTTTGGCAGGTGATATTCGAGAATTGAAGAGGAGCTTTGCCACAGCGTCCTTTTCTCACATTCGACGATCCGCGAACCGCGCAGCTCACGCCATGGCAAGAGCAGCGGGATCTGTGTCTGGTTGTCAACTTTGGTTATTTGATCCTCCTCGTTTTTTGACTGATGTACTGGACTATGATTTGATAAATAGTAATTAAGTTTTTTTCTCTCTAAAAAAATGATGTTTATGGCCTTGTGTTATCAGCGGGTGTAGTTCAAGATTATGAAGGGTAATACGATTCATAGAGAGTTAAAAATTATGTATTATTATATTATACAAGGGTTGTGTTTGGGGTTGTATTATATAATAATAGGGAAAGCTCCCAAAATGAGACAAAAAACGTCTGTAAATTCCAAAATAGGACTGTCATGTTTTTATTTCCAAAATAGGAGTAAATACTGTCAAGTTTGGAAAATATTATCATGTTTAAAGTCTGATACTGTCAAAACATGACAGTAATTAGTCCTATTTTGAGAATTAAAAACATGGCAGTCCTATTTTGAAATTTAAAAATGTTTTTAGTCCTATTTAGGGTAAATTCTCATAATAATAAGGGTAATAGCTAGCTAAAACAGGATACTATTAATGGTATGTAGAGAAAAAACAAAGCTATTAAATTAGAGAGAGAAGGGCAAGTCATATTAATGATTTTTGAGTTGTTACATGTACACGTCATATACTAGTCATAAATGCTAAGTGCACTAAATGCACATACACGTTTAAGCTAGTCTACAATGGACTTCATTGATGTAAGACATACCGGTATACTTGGTAGGACATTAAATGTGATGGTTGAGTGTTGAATGAAAAATGACCGAGGCCGAGGGCTTTGGCAAAGGTCCACAGAAATCTTTCTTGAGGGCTTGCCTGAAGACGAGAATACTTTGGATTGATTATGTTGGATGTCCATTCCGCGATTTGTCGTGGTCAATGACCCTCAAGAGCCTACCCGAGGGGTGGTCAACTGCTTGTGGGCTATTGTGACCAAAAGAAAGATATTGCCCCAAACAACACCTGCGTGCTTCACACATAATCACATTAAATTACATCCTAGTGCTTTGGCTAGTAAAACAAAAACAAAAAAAACAAAACAGTAACTGAAATAAAAAGTCTGGAAATCAAATTGAACAAAAAGAAATAAAGCCACCAACTTGCGTCACCCATCTTCAGTGTACCCGATGAGCCTATTGTCTAGAGCTCACTCCAACCCAGGTTTCACCTAAAACTTCAACCTCCATCATTTTGCCCATTGCAGTCTCGGCTCCTCCCTAACCCGGTACTGCTTTTGCTCGACACCTAGTATGCCTTTCTTTTGCATCCTTAGATCCTTATTCTCACTTACATATATATCAAAACCTGATCCCATGTCGACCATTAGGCAGTTTTTCATATATGAGATCTACCCATAAGCAGTTCCCATTAGTTTTTTAAACCTTCTAATTTTTCCTAATACCAAGGCGGACCCGAATCCTCAAGTAAGCCCTCTAGCGCCCCCTCAAGCTGATTGTCATCAAGCTTGACAAAATTTTCATGATTATTGTCAATAATTTTTGGAGCCCTTAATTTCAAGTAACCTACCGGCAAATTGTGCACTTGAACCCAAAATTCTGAGAGATGTAAAAGAATTTCCAGAGGCAAATCGTCAGAGTTTAATTCATGCAAAACTACAAGATTATGATCATATATCAACGAGCCATATTTTATGACATGTCTTATATCAATTTCATGAAAGAAAGAAGAAATATATCTTTTATCGCCAATCTCTTTTATTGATACCCCTCTGCTAGGCCTCCAAACCGGGGCCATTGTATCCCTGAATGACAAAAATTTCACGGTCTTCTTTTCGTGACAAAGAACCAAAGTAACTAACAATATATGAATAAAATATTATTGTCATGCAACAAATAGGAAAAATGTAAATAAAAATTCAAAATACTCCCTCCGTATTTTTTTGTTTGCTAAAATAGGTGTTGCCACATTGTTTAAGAGTGAAATAGTATGAGTAATAAATAGTGTAGAAAAAGTAGGAGAGATGGTGAGAAAGTATGAAAGAGAAGATAAGAAGTAGAAAAAGAAAGGACTATTGGAGTATTTTTAAAGAAAAAACTTACCAAAAAGGGAAAACGTAGCAAATTTTTAAATACATTATTTTTAGCCTTTTTATTTTATCATTTTTAGGTTTATTCATCTGTTTTTTATATTATCTTTTTCATAATAGCTTATCTTTTTTATCTTTATTTTTTTTCTTTTTCTTTTGATGGTGATATCATGTATCGATTAATGTTAGCCGACCCCAATATCTTTTGGAACTAAGACTTGAATATTGTTTATTGTTGTTGTTGTATCCAAAAAAGGAAAGTGTAGCAAACAAAAAATCTATGATATAATCATTATAGCAAGAGACTAAAGGAGTGTTTTCCTTTACTTAAAAAAAGTGCTTTAGAGCTTTTAGATTAAAAAAGGCAAAATAAGTGTTTGGTAACCCTAACCTTAGCTTAAAAAAAGTGCTTTAAAGTTAAAATCTAAAAGCTAGAGTACCCCAGCTTCTAATAGCTTCTAAGGGCTTCTCGGTTTTTCAGTAAATACTTCCAACTTTGAGGACAATAATAATGACACACATATGTATCAAAAATCCAAATTGCCCTTGTATTCGTCGTGTTCGTATATTCCCTATAGCCTTCCTTCATCTCGCACCAACTATTCTTCCTATTCTAATCTTTTCTTTTTATCCTTGGACTGGGTTGGACACACTGTTATGATTAATGTTCGTCCCACGGCGGCAGCCAAAAGCTCCGGTGGCTGCAAAAAGCTCTGACGATAGCAACCCAGAGAAGGGTTTGCTGAACTAAATAAAGAGAAGGGCCAAGAGAAGAGCTTGTTGAACCAATTGCTCCGTAATTCTCAACCTTTAATTTTAAACAAAGCTTCTGAAACTCGACCGGTGGTCTCAATGGCAGCGACGACTATGAATTTGGGGGCTGTGCGGTTCCTTTTGCAAAGAAACCAATTGAATTTATTGGATTGTCATTTTCAATCTTTTGCTCTCTAATTTTCAATTGAATTTGGGCTGCCATGAATTTATGCTATGTAATTTTCAAACTTTTGTAAAGATGGGTCATTGCAGAGATAAGAGATGGTGGGGGGATGGTCGTTGCAAAGATGGTAAGCTGCAATGACATTTATGTACTTTCCCAAAACATTACATTAAAAACGCACTTTTTTATCAAACACTCCAACTTTTACATTTTAATATAATCACTTCTATTCCTAAACACTACCTACTTTTACTACAAATCACTTTTCCAATAATCTCTTAAAAAAATCATTTTAAGAGTAAACACTCACTAAAAAAATCTATGTACAAGTATACTTATCACATACCAATTATTCACTTATTTAATCGAGTAAATTGACCAAAAAAGAGTTGGGCTAAGCCAAATATTTCGACTCAATTGTGCACTACATTTGGATTTACATTAAGCCCAAATCTAATTCTTTTCATGAAGCCGTATCATCACCATCCTGCAATTCCCACAAGCTTCTGCTTCTACTCGGCTATGTCCCCCATTTTCCGTCAGATTCACAGTACTTCAAACTTTTCGTTATCACCGGCCGGTAACACACCGTTCTTCCTTATTGATTCAGGTATAGCTCTTTTCTACCCTGCATCAGCGTCTAACCTTACTATATATTCTAAAAAAAACGTAGTAGCGCGCAGGCATTTAGATTTTAGCCAAATTGCCAATTCCCTACATCTGGATATGTGTTATTTTTTGTGGTCATGGTTTGTCTCTAGTTTTGATTCGAGTTTTACATTGATTTAACTTTCATCGGATGATATGTAACTTCAAGATATGATTTTTTATAATTAATTAATTTAATTTGCACATAAAGTCGTTCGAAGGAACATAAATCTCCTGAAAGGTGATATTTCAGTTATGTATACCGCGCGTATGAGAGTTTACCAAATTTTATAAACTCAAAATGTATTTCTTATGAGCCATTGGTACAGGGGCGGAGCCAGGACACTGGGCCGGACTGGGCCGGTACAAAGAATATTTTTGGAAAAAATTTAAACGGAATTTTTTACACTAAAAATATAGAGATTTTTAAAATTTAGGCTGGGGCCAGGGGTGGCCACCCCCTAGCTCCGCCCCTGCATTGGTAATTAATTCTACTATCTACCCAGTGCGATAATACCTCAATTTTCAAATCAACCATTATTAAAGATTGTTTGTGTTTGTTGATTTATTTTAAGTAATTATATGAAAAGTGCTTAGTAGTAAAAGTAGGTAATGTTTAGAAAGAAAAGTGGTTTTTAAAAAGTAAGAGTTAAGTGTTTGATCTTAAAGTAATTTTTCAATAGAAAAAGTGAAATGCATTTTCAAAACACCCCTTCTCTGCATTTAGCGTTTAGCTATAAAGATTAATTTAAGTAGACGCATCTATTTGAAAACACTACTATTAGCTATTTAAAGCTAAGATCAGATAAATACATTTTTTAAGCAAAGGAAAACACTCCCAAAGGTTAATGGCCAAACAACATGTGTATGCAGTTCTGTAAAAACCTCAGTTGAACTTGAGTTGTGCTTTCATTGTCTAATTTATACAACTCAGTTGAACTTGAGTTGAGCGTGTTTCATAAATACACTGATAATTGGTTCTTCGAGCTTCGACTGCTCGGGAGCGTGCATAGTGTCATAGGCGAAGAACACCGCTGATATGATTTGGAGTTTATTTTGGTGCCCTCTTTATTAAACAATCCTCACTTTTGGTTTTTGAAGGGGTTTCTAAGAAGTTTGGCATACATAGTCTCTAATCTATCAGGTAGTTTCACAACCGCAATTTTGTTGACCCGGGACCTTCTACAACATGACATTCAATTTATGAACTTGTATTTTTATTTCATATTATCACGGTGCAAACCGAAAATGACAATATCTGGATTCCTGTACTGAGTATTTTGAATTGATGCATAACCCGGTTGGTAAATTATGTGGTTGTGAAGGGTGGCCATATTGATCTGCAGGGCTTTGCAACAGAAAACACTTTATATGTGACTTATCCAAGATTAACATGTTGAACTGAGGAAGTAATAATGCCACTTACTGTGCTGCTTTGTTTTAGGGAAAAAATGCCTTCTGCTCTGTTTTCAAGTCTGAACTCTTCATTCACTTTTGGCATTCAAAGAGCAGTTAGTGTAAAACAAATTGGGAGATATAATCTGACTCTGTCTCTGCCTGTACAAAGTAGTCATACCTGGAATTGCAGATATTCAAGCTATCTATGTAATACTAGAGTCATGGCTTTTCGTGGCTCCGCAGCTGCCTTGGGGGATATTGTGGTGGATAGCTTAATCTCAAGCTCTGCAAACCCTGCCAGTGTCTATTTTGGAGATAGAATATGGAAAACTAGTATGAGTTTGGAATCTAGGAAAATGAAATCTTCCTTCATATTTGATGTTTCACATGGGTCATCCATATATTGTCCGGTAACTAGAAGAGGGTTGAAAAGTTACTGTACATCGTCTACTCCAACTTGTTCTGACGGATCATTACCAAATGAGCACCTTGCAAGTCTTGCAATTCCAATTGAACAGTATGTGCTCTGGTGTGTTTGTTGCTTTTGTTGTATTTCACCACCATCTCTGCCTGGACTCTGGAGATATACTGTCATTCTGTCTATAGTTTTGATGCATCTCTTATATCTAACTTTGTTTATCAATAGATGGGATTCATATGCTTGTGAATAGTTATTTTTTTTTATTTCAATTCAGATTTTTGTTAAAATTTTTATTGTTTTGGTCTCTTATCTTGATTTTGATCATTGAAAAAGATTCTGATTCACAAAATTCTTCTCCCTGCTGAAGGAAAAAGCAAATTTCCTTACACGAGTGAGGAAACACAGTTATGGATTGCTCTAATATTAGGCCTTATTTTGTTAGTGTTCACAGAGTCCAAGCGACGGTAGAAGATTTATACTTTTATAGTTTTATTTACGGCCTACTTCCTCAAAGCAGTTGATTCTACATCTTTATCATCTGCAGGTTAATCTCTATGATTTGGGGTCGGTGGCGAGAAAATTTTAGTGTCAAATTGTCAAAGTTATTGTATATAATTAGTATAGTTAAACACAATAAATCTCATGCATCAATTATTTGAGATAGCTGTATGCTTGTATAGTTGTATCTCTCTGATTAGAAACAGTGAAATTGGCAATATTACTATATTGACAAGGTCAATGTAACACCATCCTAGAATGCTAAATCGCTGATTGATCTAGATTTAAAATATTGTTTGCACTTTCTGATTACATTGCTCTCTTTGGATAATCAGGAAGGCAGTAGGTAATGGACCTCTCAAGCTAGTCTCTGCATCATGCTACCTTCCACATCCTGATAAAGTAAGAACTGGTGGAGAGGATGCTCATTTTATTTGCGAAGATGAGATGGCAATTGGTGTAGCAGATGGAGTTGGTGGATGGGCAGATGTGGGCATTGATGCAGGAGAATTTGCACGCCAACTAATGTCTTATTCAGTCGATGTTCTTCGGCATGAACCCAAAGATTCAATCAGTCCAACTCGGGTGTTAAAGAAAGCACATTCAAAAACAAATGCTCAAGGCTCTTCTACGGCCTGTATCATAGTACTTACTAGCAAGGTATTTTTTATTTACCTTTTGAAACCTTGACCTCACACACTCTCTCTCTCTCTCTCACACATACACACACACATATATATGTATGTATATATTTCGAGGCCTATGAGCCAGACTCAGTCATAGGCCTATTTCAAAGAGATTGTAAATCATACGGAGTACTTCTTAAAACAATGAAGGATAAGAATCTACATAAAAGCCGCAATGAAAACCAGAATTGGTTTATGATGAGATAGCTTGCACATTTAAATAAAAATAGTAACACAACTATCACATCATAAATAAAAATAATACTCCGTCCCATTTATATTGTCCCAGTTCCTATTCACTTGGTCAACACAAACCACTCTTAATTTCTTACTTTATATATCAAAAATTTATCAAATTTGATTCAGGTTTTTGCGACTTTGTAAAGCTTTATATGTAGTTTCTGAATATGTAATTTTTTTTCCTAAAAATAATTTGAGTGCGGACAGGGATCTGTTTGCTTTATCGTCGGTCAAACATCATAAACCGTAAAGGGACAATATAAATAGGACGGAGGTAGTACTCTGTGATATTTCTTAAAATGGGAGGCAGATTCTTTCTCCATGGTATTTCAAATCGATATTCGACTTCTTTATTTTTCGCTCCCTTTTAGCCTTTTTACCTTTTGTTGTTGAAAAGCAAAGCAAAGCAAAGCAAAACTATTGGGTCTAAAAAGCAAAGCAAGTTGCTTACAGAATATACAAAAAAAAAATTACTAGGTCTAGGGATGTCACCCGTATTGTCCATCTCCTAGCCCTCCACCTTGTATACTATCATGAAAGAGTTGCTCTCTTTAATACTTAAAATTAAAAGTTATCAAAAAAATAGGACGATCTATGTTGTATTGCTTTACTAGGATTTGTCTAACCCTGAGTTTGGAAAGTGTAATAATCTGACCCAAAGCATGCTTACGCAGCAGATTTTAGATATTTATAAACTAAAACTTCTTGGGCATTAATTTTTAGTTTTGGTACTGGTGGTGGCAGGGAGGGTGGTTTAAGGCAGTGGATTCCGAGGACTTTCTCTGCCAAATTTATGGCAAAATTTTTAGGCAGTTGTTTGGCAACCGTCTAGAAACTTTCTGGAGGAGGTCGCAGTAACCTCCTGCAGCTTCCGGAGTGTAGTCCATAAATTTAATGTCTAGGTTCCAATTTATTTAGGGTAGTAGCATACGCAGTATTTTTGTCAATCATATATGTTTCAGTCCCATCAACTAGTCCAATTTGAGGAAAAAAACAATATGTTATGTTCATTTTTGTGAGAAGTTTATTCTCATATTTTGCATTTTACATAGATGAAAACTGTGTTATGCACATTTGAGTGTTGTAGCTACCTTTAGGATGTTTTTACTTGGACTGTAATTTGCTGGTCTGGTCTGATCTGGTCTGGTCTGGTCTGAACTGGACTGGTCTGGTAAGGTCTGGTTTCTTTGTATTTTATAACTATCCAAGTCTGGTCTGGTCTGGTCTGGTCTGAACTGGTCTGGTCTGAACTGGTCTGGTCTGGGGCAAATTACAGTCCAAGTAAAAACATCCTTAGTCTACGTTTTGAACTCTGAAAATGGTAGAGAAATGAAAAACGTACTAAGGGTTGTTTAATGTTTGTTTTCACTTCAGAGAATAGAGAATATGTGGGAAAGTCAAATATGATTAAAACTATATTCCAATAAAATGAGTTTGAACAAATAGCTAAAACTGGCATATTGAGGTTGAAGCAGTTCATATTACTACCTCCGTCCCACCATGTTTGGGAATTGGGACAAAGAAGTGTGGCACAACTTTTAAGAAAAAGTGGAATTGTGTGGTTGGTATTGAGTTGATAAAGTGTGAATAAAGTAAGAATGAATTGTAACCACCCAAGTATTAGCAAATAGAGTATGGGACAAACTTAATGGGACGGACGAAAAAGGTAAAACAGGATAAACCTAGTGGGCTGGAGGGAGTATTATTTATTTTCTCTTATGTTTTATTTCCTTATGAAGATTTTCTTAGTTTTAGATAGTCTTATTGTTTATATGAGAAAAAAATGGTGGAACGTTTCACTGATACTGGACCCAAAAAGGCTATTCAAACTTGTATACTGAGACTTCTCATCTTTTGAGGCTCTCTTGTAGATTTGGGTGTTGCGGTGTTACCCCCAGGCTACCTCATAATAAGACTTGTAAATAAGTTCAAATCATAATATCGTATAAACACTGATTCGTAACTGGTACTCCTTTCAAATAGGGTCTTCGTGCCATTAATCTTGGAGACAGTGGCTTTGTTGTGGTTAGGGATGGGCGCACCATCTTTGAATCCCCAGTTCAGCAGCACGGTTTCAATTGTCCATATCAACTTGAAAGTGGCAGTGGCGGTAACAGTAATGCTGATCTACCAAGTTCTGGTCAGGTATTTTGAGCTATTGCTTAATCCTCCTATATTCCCTTCACCCACCCACCCACCCACACTATTAAAAAAGCAAACAAATAAAAATATAAAACGACTGCTTTTTTTCTGCTTACTTGGTTGCAACAACCAGTGGCAAATCCATCAAGGACATTAGGTTGTACAATTTTATTGGATTGTTATGCTATTTACTTATTTGCATCATTTAATCTGTTTGCTTATTATTTTGCATATTTTAAGAGTTGTATGACTTGGAATAAAAAATAAAATTGTCTGTGCTTGGGTTGTAATTACTTTTCAATGTCTTCAAACTCCTTGATACGCCCCTAGCAAGTAGCAAAAATCCCATATTCCCAGCTTGTCACACACATATGTATATCTTCCTCAAATGCGGATAGGCTGTACAGTTTTTCATCATCCGGCATTCATCAGGTTTTCGCAGTTGATGTTAAACCTGGAGATGTTATTGTTGCGGGGACTGATGGATTGTTTGACAACCTATACAAAGATGAAATAGCTCGTGTTGTTCACGATGCAGTAAAATCTGGCCTGGACCCAGACACCACTGCTCAGAAAATAACAGGTTTAGCACGCCAAAGAGCTCTGGATAGCAAAAGGCAAACTCCCTTCGCTGATGCAGCACAAAAAGGCGGGTTTCATTACTATGGTGGTAAATTAGATGACCTTACTGTTATCGTTTCTTTTATTACTCACTCCTCGACTGCTGCATAAGCAGTAAATTTCTGCTTTTCCTTTTTTATTGGATCTTTTAGTCTCTATTGGCTAAAAATATTGACTGATTTTTTGATAAAGAACTGCGCAATTTGATAATTAGTTTTGTAAATTTTGATTTAAGTACTTCTTGTTGATGATTGAGCACAAATCAAGGTTGTTAAACTGGACATCCTACTTAGGGTCGGATATGGTTGAAAGATTGCAACTGGAATGGTAAAATCTTACTCCTAAGAACTGTGTAATTATAAATTCACATGAAACAACGTCAAAGAACTGTGTAATTATAAATTCACATGAAACAACGACGTTATTCCAATAACGCAAAGGCTCCCACTGAAGGTGAGATAATGGAATCGTCACGTGAAACAACGACGTTATCCCAATACCGCAAAGGCTCCCACTAAAGGTGAGATAATGGAATCGTTTTTACGCAACCTTACCTCAAAGTACAAAAAGACTGTTTCCGGATGACTTATGATGAAAATTGCATCGAAAATTGCATGTTTGATTTGTTGCTTAATAACACATTAATAAATGAGTATAGAAGTTTAGTGAGTCATCACAAACGAAAAAATAGTGAGTCTTCGACTCCATTGAAAAATGAAAATGATGAAAAATATAAATTCACGTGAAAGCAATTATAAAAGTATAAATCTTTTACCTAATTGTATTGAGTGTTAAGCCTCTAATAATCCAGGTACCAAAATGGCAATTTCTTCTCATTTTTGCTCTCATTAAGCCTCTAAAACGATTTAGCCCTGTTCTAACCCCTCTAGAAACTGCCCCAATTTCACAAAGAACCCAAGAATACCCATATGCCAAAACCTATGATTGGATCCAAATAATCAAGAATTCAAGATGATGCCAGGTTTCGCTGATAAAGGCATTGACATTGACAGGAAATGATACATAATGTGAAACAATTTTTTTTTTGTTTTCTAAAAAGCTTCGTATTTGCTTGTGAAGTCGATGGAACACTGTTTGTTAATACTTGTAAAATAAGTATCGGCTTAACTTTGTGAGACGAAAGGAGTAAACGCTAGCTAAAATAGCTGCTAAAACTATATAATCTAGGGGCTAAAAGTGCCGTCCCTCCTTTGTTTGGTTCTATGTTTTTTATTGGCAGAACTGAACAACTGATAGAGAAATAGACGGAACAAAAAGAACCCCTCATTGATTCGTACCAAAGCTAATGAAAAGTGGTTATAACATTAGGTTGGGGACAAAAGTTATTTGCAAAACAGACACAGGGTCAATGCAAGAACAAGTTCTGATATGCTTATTCAAAAACTATGAACACAACAAGTTTTGGAAAACTGAGTCATTAGGGCAATATGAAAGTCTTCCCCCTAGCTTTCTTCATGATTCTTCTTCCCCATTCTATGCTTGGACCTCCCTCTCCCCACTCCCACCCACCACCTTCATGTTCACGTTCTTCCTCCTGTTCTTCTTCGTGCTGCCTAGCTTCTTCCTCCTTTTTAGCTGCCTCTTTTCTTCTTTCTTCTTCCTGTTGTCTAGCTTCTTCCTCCTTTTTAGCCGCCTCTTTTCTTCTTTCTTCCTCTTGTTGCCTAGCTGCTGCTTCCCTTCTTTCTTCTTCCTGTTGTCTAGCTGCTTCTTCCTCCCTTCTGGCTGTCTCTTCGGCAGCTTCTTCTTCACGTTTTTGTTGCTCTTCTCTCTTCTTTGCTTCTTCTTTCTCTCTCTTTGCTTCTTCTTCCTTTTCAGTTGCCTCTTGAGCTGCCTCTTCTTCCTTTCTCTTTTGTTCCTCCCTTTTCTTTGCCTCTTCCTTCTCTCTTTTAGCTTCTTCTTCCCTTCTAGCTGCCTCCCGGGCAGCCTCTTCTTCATGGTGTTTCTGCTCTTCCTGTTTCTTTGCCTCTTCCTCCTTCCTCCTAGCTTCTTCCTCTTGTTGCCTTTCCTCTTCCTTTTTCCTCTTTCGTTCTTCTTCTTTTTCTTTTTGCCTTTCCATTTCTTCTTGTTTCTTTCTCTCCTCTTCCTCCTCTCTCCTAGCTTCTTCCTCTTCTTTCCTAGCTGCCTCTCTGGTAGCCTCTTCCTGTCGTCTTTCCTCTTCTTTCTTCCTTGCCTCTTCCTCCTCTCTCCTAGCTTCTTCTTCTTGCCTTTTCTTTTCATCTTCTCTCTTTCTAGCTTCTTCCTGTTTTTTTCTCTCCTCTTCCTTTTTCTTTTCTTCCTCTTCCCTTTTCTTCTTTTCTTCCTCTTCCTTTTTCTTCCTTGCTTCCTCTTTTGACTTTTCAATTTCATCTTTCATTATCTTGAACTCTTCCTCCGCACAAGATGTGCAGTCCAGGATTATCGCCTGCTCTTGCTGATTCAAGATCTTATCTACTGTCTTGTTGTTGGTGTTTAAAGAGACGGATATAATGTCTCTGTCCAAAGTCTGAAACACAGAGGCTTTGCCTGCCAGGTACTGAGGATGGTTGTTCTTTGCCGCCGTACTAAATCCCATGAAAACGAATGAGTCATTGTTGAAAGACACCTGAGCCATGGGATGGAACCTCGGCACCACAAACACGTCACCTTCCTCGACGTGGAACCTCATGGTTTTGCAGCCTGTTCTGTTTGTCGGCCCGGGGCAAACCACCGTGACCATTCCTTGTCCTTGCAAGCCGATTCCAATCTCAGTAGCCCTTGGGTTCCAATGTGGCCCCATCATTGAGCCCTATTGATACAAAAAAGATTTATCATGAATGTTGGAATCAGAAATATGCAAGAACCCCAAAATGATGGATTGATGGGACTGTATATGCAGGGCATACAACAACTGACCTTGGTCAAGTTTACCATGAAAAGACTAATATCAATGCCCTTCAATGCAGACAACTGCTTCTTTGATACTACTGTGCTCCACCCATTGCAGTTTTCAAAGTCGGGGTCATTCGAGAAAACATTGAACTGTCTAGTCTTTTTCTTGTTTTGGGCATGATATAAGCTGATGTAGCCACTGCCACTTAGAAGTGCTTTGATGAAATCAAATTCCATGTCCACTGTTTTCTTGGCCTTTGCCAATCCATGCACTATAGCTCCAGGATCCGCAGCGCCAGTAATCTCTTCTATGTCTTCCAAAGGAACCTTCAAACACAAAACACTTTTAACCTTCACCCGTCTTTGTTTCAATTTAGATCATGTGACTAGGTTTAAGTTCGGTTATGACCTAGGAGGGCAAAGAACAGGACCTACGGCCCCTGAACAGGCAATTCTCTTTTTCAAACTAGGGTGATAATCGGAACCTGAACGGGTTAAGGTTCAGGTTCCCCATTAGTCCATTACCACTGGGATGGGAACCAGTACCAAACTGAGTGCACCCTTAAATGTGGTAACTTATAGAACACTATGAAACTCGAGCTTACCCCAAAGGCTGCTGCTAGAGCGGCTTTATCAAAGCCTAGAATCAATCTGCGTATACTTGAGTATGGTCCAATTGCTGGTTCCTGAGACAGAATAAAAACATATCTGTAAAACTTCTAATATACATGAATGATATATTTTAACCCACAAATCCAAAGAGAGCTTTATTTCTTGTTTCTGCCATAGTTATTTAGTGAAGAATGACATTTAGGGGGGATTGAAGAAGGGAAGGTGCATACATGCAAGTCATTTTCTGCATTGGCAAAGAAGGCATAAATTCTAAGTTTCTGCCTCTCAATCTCTAAGCTGCTTTGAATGTAGAAAACAGTTCCCGGTCGCAGCCTATATATATCTCCTTTTCTCAATTCCAGCTGTTTGGTTTCATCTCCATCAGTCCAATTAATCTGCCCACTCCCTTCACAAACACAAAAAATAAATTCAAGCACAAAAACTTGCTTTTATTCTCTTGGTTTTGATGCTTCCTTTTGTAATTTAATTTATTGCTTATTTAACGTAACGTAACAAAAACTTAAATTTTAACAAGTTCCTTACTTAATTTCTTTGGTTGAGTTCACTCAAAATAAAGTTAACCTTTCCTGATAAGTATATAAGTATTAATTGTGACATTATTAATTACTATCATTATCATTACTCTATTTTGGAGTTTTTATATTTTTTTACTCCTATTTCAAGAATTTTCCCATATAAAATCCAAGATTAAAATACAGTGTGTTGATTTCAAGGATAGCTGAAAGCTTTACATTAGAACATTTAACTTTCTGGAGTTGGGCGCAAAAATTTCAAATTTAATTTCCTAGCCAAACATGTTCCTAAAACTGAATATAAGTCCTTGCATGCGATGGAATCTGATTAATTGACATAAAAGTTACCTGTGTGAACATAGAAGACCATTTCGGATTGGAGAAGAACAGGGAGGAAGAGGGCGTTTGGCTCCAAAGTGATGAACTCGATATGAAACCTCCCATTCTCTATCCCGTCGCTAATTCGCACCATGGAAATCTCTCCGTCCTCCGTCGAAACCACCGTTTCCCTTTCTCCCTTCTTCACGAAGAGGGCACCACTGCTACTGCCGCCTCTCTCGTCCTCCTCGGCCGCGTCACCACCTCTCAGCACCGCCGTTGAACATGGTGCATTCAAGGATAAGATCAAGAATAGTGTCAAAATAAGACAGTAGATTAAGGACATAGAGATCTTTGTCGCCATGGCTGGCTTGCTTTTGTTTTTTGAGTTGGAGAGTGTGGAGGTGGTGAAGAAGATATACAGAGTTTAAGGGTGAGTTTTGGTACGTGTCATGTGCATGCGGCAGAGGAAGATACATGAGAGTGCCACGAATCACTGGGTGTTTGCTTGGAAGTTCAAAATATTCACTCTTGATCATTTATGTCCCCTACGTGTGCATTTTGGAACTCATTTTTCAAAATAATGTTCTAAAAAGGAAAATTTGATTATACTCGTTTTTTTAAAGAAATTAACCTAAATAAGACTAAAACATAGTCTAAACTCATAATTAGGACTACAAGTTTATTATTGCCTAAATAGGACTCCGAGTTACAATTTTGCCCTTCACTTAATTAAACCAAACCCCAGACCCAGAAGTCGGTGACCTGCAATTCCTCAATCGATCTTCTTCTCCCATCGATCGCAACCTGCATTTAATCTATACGGAGCATTTGAACTCGTATCCAGACATCCGATTTATAAGTCCTAGGTTTGCTTGTCCGTATTTCAAAGTCATAACAATTGATTCAAGATGCCTCACAGAGCTAGGCCTATGATAGGGCTTCTTCTATTTGTTGGTCTAAACGATGCTTTTGTCACTACAACAGAGCTTGTGTATGATTTTGTATGCTTCCTCCTATACTGGGAACGAAGAGCTCAAGAGCATGTTTCTATTTCATCCAAGGTTGGTCCTCTTCTTCTTCCTCTACTTCTTTCTCCTCTTCTTCTACTTCTAATCGTCTTCAAATTTCTGGTCCGATGTTCTCTTTTTTTTCTTTGGATTTTTTGGATTTGAATTTTATTTATTAATTTAGACTTTTTGGATTTGAATTTTATTTATTCAGGAAAAATGACACTTTTATAATCGGAGTTTGACAAAATGATTGGTTATTTGAAAAAAAAATGTTATGTATGCGGCAATACATTTACGAGTTGGCAATCTGAAAATGTCATGAAAATGACATTTTTCGTTTTTTCTTTTTTTGCAAATCTCATCTTCTTCTTTGAAACTGTCACTTTAGCAAAAGTGACATAAAACATGCCACTTAATATATGCATACACAATAATGACATTCTCAATATGACATTTCCAAATGCTCTAATGACATAGAAGTGACATTATTTAAAAATAACAATAATGACACAATAATGTCAATTTCGTATAGAAACATGACATTCCCAATATGACATTTTCAAATACTGTAATGACATAAAAGTGACATTTTTTAAAAATACCCAATAATATATTATGACATTCTCTTATTCAAAAAGTGACATTTTCTGGAATCATTAATCAGGACATTTTGAGATTCAAATTAATCAAAATTGATAACAAGAATTTCAAGTTCAGATATATCTTCATTTGAAACTTTCAAAATTCAAAATTTTATTGATAAAAAATTTAAAAAAAAGAGAACTAGGAAGAAGAAGAATAAGAAATAAAAGAAGAAGAAGAAGAAGAAGAAGAGGAGCAGAAGAAAAAGATGAAGAAACTTACCTGGGCAGACTCTCCAGAGCGCTAGTGACGCACCTAGCGAGTCTCCAGAGCGCTAGCGACGCAACTAAGAGGGCTATTTTGTCCAAATACAAATAATTAGTCCTATTAAGAGGATTTAAAACATTATGTCCTATTTTTGCAATTCAACTTTCTTTTAGTCCTATTTAGCTAAATCTCTCTTTTTTTAGTATACTGGAAATAAAATGGATTTTATACACTTGGCATGTACACGAATGAACCATTTATTACAAATTCAACTTTTAATTATAATCTTGGACATGTTCCCCTCAATTACCAATTTGTCTTACCAATCCCTTTTTTTGTTAGAATACTGAATACATATTCAAGTCGTGTCTTACAATTACACAGACTTTTGATGAAAGTTCAGATATAGATATATTATTAATAACCTCTAAATAACTTCTTCTTTATCTCTGAGATTTCTGATTTTCTGAATTAATTTACAAGGCTTCATCAAACTCCTATTTATAGTGTTTGAGCTTGATGATTAGTCACCTAAATGATGAGTCTACAGGTTTGGTGGCAATAACAAATTGAGCCACCTGTTCTAACTAGGTTACAAGGATCATTACAAGGATGATGAATAGCTAGGTGTCCTAATGACAAGGATGAACAATTCACACATGCGTTTCTCAGGAATTTACAACACTCCCCCTTGAATGTTCATCCTTGAATATGTATTTGTTATTTTAAAAACTTATTGTGAAAATTAAGGGGTAAAGATTACGACTTATAATGTCGTTGTATTTGGATGTACTGTCTCGTTAAAAACCTTATCAGGAAAAACCCAGTGGGATAAAAACCTGATGAAGGGAAAAAGAGTGCAGTGCATTCAAATACTCCCCCTGAATTTAGCATAAATTATGAAGGCGGCGCATGCCGATTTTTTGTACAAGTTCCATGAACTTCTTTGGGGGTAATGATTTGGTGAAGAGATCAGCTGGATTTTCACTGGATCTGATTTGTTGAATGTTGATCGTCCCTTCTTTCTCAAGGTCACGAGTAGAGAAAAACTTCGGAGATATGTGCTTCGTTCTATCTCCTTTGATGTAGCCTTCTTTAATTTGAGCTATGCATGCGGTGTTGTCTTCGTAGATCACAGTCGGGTGACAACTAATAGCTTTCATACCACATTCATCTTGGATGTGTTGAATCATAGATCGCAGCCACACACATTCTCTCTCGGTTTCATACATTGCAATTAATTCAGAATGATTTGATGATGTAGCTGTCAATGTCTGCTTCATAGATCTCCATGATATTGCGGTGTTACCATAAGTAAATACGTACCCGGTTTGTGATTTCGCCTTTTGAGGATCTGATAAGTATCCAGCATCTGCATATCCGATTAAAGTGGATTTTGCCTCTTTGTCGTAGAATAGGCCAAGATCAACTGTACCACAGAGATAACAGAATATGTGCTTGATCCCGTTCCAATGACGCCTTGTTGGGCATGAGCTATACCTAGCTAATAAATTTACAGAAAATGCAATATCTGGTCTAGTATTATTAGCTAAATACATTAATGCTCCAATAGCACTCAGATATGGTACTTCGGGACCGAGTATTTCTTCGTCGTCTTCTCGGGGACGAAATGGATCATCGTGTATGTTGAGAGATCGAATGACCATTGGTGAAGTCAAAGGATGAGCTTTGTCCATATAGAATCTCTTCAACACGTTCTCGGTGTAATTGGATTGGTGGATGAAAATTCCATTCTTCAAATGCTCAATTTGAAGTCCGAGACAAAATTTGGTTCTCCCGAGATCTTTCATTTCAAATTCTTTCATAAGATATTTTGCAGTATTTTCAATTTCATCGGGAGTTCCAATAATGTTTAAGTCATCAACATATACTGCAGTTATGGCAAATCCCGAATTTGATCGCCGAATGAAAACACATGGACTAATTGGATCATTCGTCCAGATTGTTTTAGTCCATACAATGACTTTTGTAATTTAATGGAAAATACGTCTCGAGGTTTCGAGCTATAAGCTTCAGGCATTTTAAATCCATCGGGAACTTTCATATAAATATGTCTGTATCAAGTGAACTATATAGATAGGCGGTCACTACATCCATTAGGCGCATTTGCAGCCTTTCAAAAACAGACATGCCAATGAGAAACCTTAATGTAGTTGCATCAACTACTGGAGAATAGGTTTCTTCATAATCGATTCCTGGCATTTGAGAAAAACCTTGGGCAACAAGTTGGCATTTTTTTCATTTTTAATTTGAAAATGAAAAAACCTGGAATAGCAGGTCATCAACTGGTCAGAGACCAGCGAATGAAGATGAGGTGCAAATGTTGGATTATTAATGAATAACGATAATGTGGGACTAATGAAAGAAAACCACTAAACGGTCGGATTATTAATTTCCATTTTTCCTAAAACAATTTGCCCTTTTCATTGGAAATATAAATTGAGAATATGTTTAGATAATTAGTTCAAAAATAAGATACTAGAAAAAAATTGTCATTTAACGGTGTTTTATACCAACAGTCGATTGCCATTGGTATGAGAGACTTTTTCCTACCGTAAAAGGCGGATCTCTTTTGTTCAAGGGTGTTCATGTGAACACCCAAACTTTTGAAAATAAAATGTAAATAT